CCAGGTCAGCAGAACGCCACACCACACGAAAATGAAGTTAGTCATTCAGAACACCAGAGCCACTGTCCGGTCCTAACCCCACCCCTTACACTAACCCCACACCCTCTGAGTGTGTGTGTGTGTGTGTGTGTGTGTGTGTGTGTGTGTGTGTGTGTGTGTGTGTGTGTGTGTGTGTATATTCAGATAGTACTCTGCTCGCTATTCATATTCTCTCAGCTTGATCGGATATGGTCTCTCTTGGGATTGTCTCAAAAGAAGTTTTGTTCTCCTCAACGGGGGGCAGGAAGTTTAATTTCTTAATAACAACTGATGCAGGGCCCATATTACAACCATTAAACGTGGGATTTAAACTCTCACTGTGGTTTATGTGAAATGATATGGAAGAGCTGACGAGCGATGACAACTCCCTTGTTGACTTAAGTAAATGACTGAACTAAATACTCGAGAAACGAAAGCTTCATTTATGGATCTACAGGAAACCGCAGTAACGATTCTACACTTGTGAGTCAAACAAAGATTGAAATTAAAACTTGTGTGATGCAGCTCTGCCTGTGAACCCTGCCTTGTTTACTACAATTGCATCTCAAGTGGCAAATAAAGTCGCATCACTCACTGGGTCCCAAAACAAGGAGGCCTCTCAGCCGCTCAGAGAAGTAGGTCACTGAGGATTCCATTCATTTGTACACCGCTTTGAAAATAGTTGCGCTTTTCCACTCAGCCCAAGACTTCCAGCTGCATGTTAACCCTTGAACAGCTTGCACGTCTCATTTCTGCACCGGCAGCACATCATACTGCACTTTTTCACCCAGCAGTCGTGAAACTAATAATGAAGGGATCAGAGTCTGAGAAAGGACTGGTAAACCTGTGGGGAACAATTTGAGGGAGACAGGGTTTTTACCTGGGTGGATGTTTACAGCTATTTGTCACAGTTTTGTACAGACATTAGTTTTAAGGTCACAGTTCGGGATGCGAAAACAGGAAATACGAAACATTAAACTGCTTAATTTCTAAATTATACAGTAGTTTACTGAACAGACTATAGCTGTGATTCTTAAACTCTGTAAAACTGTCTGCAACCCTAAAAACAAGTACATTTACTGAAGTAAATCAAAATAAACATTCTCTCAAATGAATTAAAAAACAATAATGTAAAGATCCAACAAGGTGCAGCATTTTGAAAATTAACATTCGATTGATGCTGTCTCACATGTGTGAGGAAGTTCCACGTTAAACCAGCTACATACCCAATCGCAGTTGTACATGGCTATGATGAGAAATAACTACAAACTGGCAAATACTCCATAATCAATGCAAGACCAGTATTAGCGCAGTGAACACTAAACCAATAAATAAATCAGCCTTACCCACACAAGCACTCGAGCCAGTCACCACAACATACCAGAGGGATCACGTAACCAGACAACCTTCTCAATCTGCCTCTTTTCAGCAGCATGTGTCCTGACGTTGAGTCTGCAGCACTGAAACAGGCACTGCTGACTCCATCTCTTTTAGCTGAATCAGCTGACGGGACGCGACAATAAACTGACGCAGGTGCGAGAAAATCAAAGGGCGTGGCTGAAAAATTCAGCGTGGATGTGCATCAGGTTGAAGCTCATTATAATCTGATTTATTCTGGGACAGAGGTTGTTGTACAAAGTATTTGGTAACTGTACTGAGACAAAAGAGCCACACTGCTCTGCATCAGCGTCACATTTAAAGCACGTTTCTACATATGTCACCTTTGTATACAAAGACGTCTTTGCTCAAGAGAAACTGCTTTTCCCATTTGTGAAGTTTAAGCTAAAATATGACATTTCTTTGTCATAAGGGTTTGATAACGACATCTCCTTGATATTTTTTTATTCTCTAATATCAGGATATTCAGTCTTAGAATGAGATGAGTACACAACAAAATGAAAAAGCAAAGTTTGCTGATGTGATGACAGTTTTTTTAATCTGTCTGCAACATTGGGTTTTGTATGAAATACTTGTATCAGCGTTCCTTAGCGTGTTTTCATAATCAAGTTAAATGTGCCAACAAAATGTAGATTTCAGGTCTTACTATCCATCCAACAAATGCCTTCATGTCCACAACCATCAAAACCTGCTCTGTGTACCAGTACATTGTGCATATCTCCAAATACCAATCACAGCCACAAGTCAAATGAGTTATTTTACAGAAACGACCGCAACTCCACCCACGGGCGTATTTCTGTCTCTTTCCACCTACACTGTAAATCGAGGCCTTGTTAGCTGAGAAATGAAGATTCATACAGGATGTAAGAGTGAAATATGACTGTGACTCAAGTTTCACTGCAAACATCATAGGCCAGAGCCTCTTTGTCTGACACTCATACAATGCACTGTATTCTGAAAAGCAAATAAAAAGACAGAGAAAGATGTTTGTTGTCACCCCTCTCCCAAGTTTTAATCTGACTGAGTTTGAGTGGAAACTTCAGAAAGTGTCCAGCTTTATATTGAAGGAGACATTTTCAGCTGATATTTAGGTTGATTGTTTTAATTTGAGTCAACAGGTTTACATGCTACGATGTTCAGAAAAAACATCTTCCTGATACTGTCCGTTACTGCAGCTCCTCTTTTCAGCCTCTGTCTCAATCACTTAGTTTTAGTTTGTGTCTCTTTAAGACCCCCCCCTCCTGATAAAGCCCAGTCTGCTCTGATTGGCCAGCTGGCTCACTCTGTTGTGATAGGATAACACTTCCAGCGTGTGCAGGGAAATGTCGGCGTCCGAGCTCGCATAACCTGAACTGCCTGGACAAAATGAAGCAAAAACAATGTAAATGCTGGTGCACTGTCAAGCGATGCAACTATGGCAGCCGAGAGAGTCACTCTTGTTTTTCCTGTGGATGAAATCTCTGAGGTAGAGGACATGTTTAATACGGTGTTCAAAACTTTACAGTCTCTGCTTTTGCCGTCTGGAATTGCTGCATCCAACAACTTCGACCAAAGCAAAACATTTGTAGAGAACCTTAAAATCAATTGTGTCACTGCCTTTTTAATAAAGCAGGGTTTATATTACACATCATCGCTGATTGGGCAACACCTCGTACACATGCACCGAATGAAAGAAATCGTAGCCTGAAGCCAGAAAACAAAACTGAACAAAACGGAAACCGAAGCAAACCACTGCCAAACATTTTGGGATCAAACTTTTCTCTGGCTTTGTAGGGGGCTTGACTAACCACGATATGTGCAGGACTATCAACCCGACTACCGAACTTCAGGAGTGTTTCCTCTGACTTCGGGCTTATAACTTTGCAGAAGTTTAATGTTCCAAAAAACTCTGAAAGGAACGTCTCCTTTAAACAATAACAAAGACCAGCCAGAATTAACTGCAGCCACTGGCCATTGTAAACCTGGTGAAATCTATGTAATAAGTGTGAGTATCACTGCAGGGCAGAGCCATTATATCACCCACAGTTACATGTGCTGCCTCTGGAAGTAGAGCGTTAGCCAGCAGATGTGTTACTGCCTGCAGATGTTGCCATGGGTTACACACAGACGCCTGCTCTCCATCACAGCAGCAGCAACACTTCATTCTATTTTTCATGTGCCCAGTCAGTTGCCAGGGTTTTTGTTTCCATGGCCACGCTGCAGTCTGATGCAACAAAAACCCAGCCACAGCACCCCATGGGTGTCTTGGCGTGATACCAACCCGGGGGGGGGGGGCTACAGCACTATAGGCTGGCACACTGTCTGGCTGAGTGTCGTCTGGAGACAGCCACAGTGCCAGCTGAGCTAACACTATACACGACCTCGACCTCCTTCCATAATCATTCAGTGGCTGGCAACGGTTCAGCGCAACAATTCGCACCATTTCATACCATCAGTGATTCAGCTATTTATCACTCTGGATGCAGGAAATGTGTGTGAAGCATTTAGTTGTGTGTTTATGTCAGACTCTGAGAAAACATGCCGTTGAAAACTCCATGAATTTTTAATAGCGTGGCCAACATTATTTAAAAGTGGTGAGATTTGTGAATTTGACTGGTGAGTCTCTTCTGGAAGGATTGGTGCTATTTCCAGCAGCGGGAAATATGTTGAAATACATGTGTAAATGTGGTGTTAAAATGTCCTCATAATAATCTAAATGATGTGGTAGTAGGAGAGATCTGCAAAACAAATTAAAGCAACACGATGCAACTTTTTTTTAACCTAAAACAACAGCTTCAGAATGAATTTGATGGTTCAGTGACTGTGAATAGAGAGAATTTTCCTCTTTCAATCTCACTCCTCACCCTGAACGTCTCCTCTTGCTCTGTGTAACTTTAGTGAGCGGGTATGATCTCCTGTGAGAAGTATGGAACTGACCGCTGACCGTCAGAATCAGGTCCAGCAAGCTGAAGAGTAGAGCTGAACTATGGATCAGTTAAAAAAGACTTAGAAGTCATTAAAAACCAGAGTTTATCCCCAATATTCAGCAGGAAACTTTTCCCCCATTGGTTTGCGAGCTGCTGTTTTGAAGTCTCGAGTTTGGCATTTTGTCCAGCGCCATCTTGGTTTACAGATGGGCTGCGACCTGCATCCACTGGTGGTTAGCTCACACGGTATCCAAAGAATGCAAGCCATATACATATGGTGCTTTATATTTGACTCTTAATGGGACCATAATGTACAAAATGAACATCATGCTGTATTGAAGACTTGTAACTAGAGATATTATAAACTCCTAAAGAAAATGATTACTGAAAACATCAATCGAGGTTTTTTTCTCATAGACTTCTATAGAAACGTCACTTCCGCATTGACTTCACTTTCCAGACCTGGAGTCCAAGTTCATTTAGTCAGAGATTTATGTTTTCTATATGAAAACCACTTTGCTAACTATTCTCAAAGTGGCTGCAGAGGGCGCTGTTGCTCAGTAAAAGTTGCACAGTGTTGCTTTAACGGCTCTGCTCTATCTCTGCCTGTATTCGCATCTTCATTGTGTCTTAACGGATGATGCAGCAATTGACTGCGTGAGCAGTGGACTGTCCTACCTGGGTTGTTGGCCTCTCCCTCCAGGACCTGCAGTTCGGTGCACTCGGCGAGGGAGTGCTCCAGACACAGCTGCAGGAAGCGGGCCTGGGTCCGGCTCACCCTCTTCAGCAGGGACAACAGAGCCACCGTCTGCTCACACTCGTTCCACCCCTTGAACCAGCTGGCTAGGACGCCCACCTGATCACGAAACATCATGGTCTGCGAGGCGGGGGGTTGAAGGGCGGACTGACTGTGGTGCTGGGGATTGGGGTGCAATGTCACCAAAGGTTTGGGTAAAACTGGCAGAGTGAGGACACTGGTCCTAACAGCTGGTTGTTAGGGAGGGAGGTGTGCTAGTGCGAAGTTCAGCTGATGCACTGTACAGCCATTCTTAGCTTTGTCATTATTAGCTGGAACAGAAGCCTTTTAGTGCCAAGATGTGTTTCACCCACAGCCGGCGTTGGATGTAATCCTGCAGGAGATGCTTCTGCACCGTCTTAATCTCCGCTGGTGCTGGTGGGGGGTTTGTGAGACTGCTCCTCTAGCAAGGCATTAGGAGATATGAGCTGTTCTAGGCTGCTTAGTCGCTCTCGGAGGGATTGATATTTGATGAGTCAGCTCTCTTCCAGCACACGCTGTGTCACATCAGCTTCAGCCTCACTGGCATTTTTTCCTTCAGGGAATCCCTCGCACGCCTGCAGCAGGATGTTAGAAGTCAGGGGAAGGAGGGAGGGGAGGGAGAGGAAAAAACAAATTTAAACACACAATACTCACTGTGGCACGTCCCTCCCTCTGTCTCATGCACATGCAGAGACTTTTTCACAGACAGCCTCAGTGGGAATGCGACAGTGCAGCGTCCCTGTTGCTTCAGCCCCGCAGACTTGGTGCTGCAGCTACAGACCCGGAGTCCAGCCTTCATTCACTACATCTCATACATGCATTTATAGGTCGCCTCCTCGCCGTCGCCTGTGCGCAGGCTTGCGGCTTGCATTCACCGCCGAGACCAAAATAAACAAAATTTCGTTTCTGGTATCCACCCATTCCTAAAAATACAGCTGTGGGCTGCAGGGCACTGCATCCCGGGGGTTTCCAGAGAGAGGAAGCCGGGCGTAGGGACGGCGGAGGCAGGCAGGGCTGAGGGGGCTGTGTCCTGCTGGAGCTGCTGGTTCCCTTTCGCTATTTTTAACGACTAGTTCTAGAGTCGTGAAGCTGCTTCTTAAGAACCGGGGACCGGCTCCGGTGGTGAGGAGACACTGCGGGGGGAAGCTAGCAGCGGAGCCCGGGCTCAGAGTGGAGCGTTAGCCGCTGTCTGTCTGTCACCAGCTCACACACACAAACACACACTCACACTCACTCACAATACTCATGAATATGAATAAATATAAAGACATGAGAGAAGTGTGTTGGAATAAAAACTACTTCTGAATAAAACACCACCCACTCCTCTGGGTCTTCTTCTACCGACTGCGAGTTAGCGAAGTTACAACACCAACATTAACGGACACAGATTTTAACGAACCGCCATTAATTTAAAAAAGTGGTGAACATAAGAAGCAGCTTCTCTCGTGTGTAGAAATAAACATGGAGACACATTGAACTTGTGTAAACACAGAGTGCAGAGGAAAAACAACGAGCTCCACAAAGTTGACTTTTTGAATCGTAGCTTTGCGGGAGGACGGTTGGAGGCGCCGGCCTCAGCTCGGTTCTTACCTCCGGGCGCGGTTCTCATTGCCGGGCGGGTCTGTCTCGGGACGGCCGACTCGCTGAGCTGGTTCTCCGGGGAGCGGTGCCCCTTCACTCCGGGTCTGAGGGATTTGCCATTTTGAACTAACTTTTCCTCCGTCTCTCTCTCTCCGGCTCGGAAAGACGCGGTTAAACACCCGGAACACAGCGAGTCACTTCCGCCTACGTCTTTCAAAACAAAGCTCGACCCTGCAGGAAAAACTTCGAAGCCCAAATGTTTTTTGTTGAACAAAGTTTTATTTCTATGACAAACTAATTCAAGCTGCAGCGTGAACTTCAAATGTGTCTTTGTTAAAATAAACTTTACTGGTTTTGGTGCTAAAAGTAAAGTCAAGCATACAATGAATATCTTTGTTTTTTTTTAATTGACTATCCAAAGTTCAGTAAATAATAGATTATTAAATACATATATATGTCAAATGCAGCTCAAAATGCTTCACAATAAAACCAAGGGCATGAAATAAGATGGTCAATAAGAAAACGTTAGCAATGAAACAAGCAAAAGTTACACAAAGAAGTAAAAATAAAGACAATGGTGTTACAGATAAAATCAAGATAAAGGAAATATATACACAGATACATATATACAATATACATTACATAAAATATGTTTCTATTTCCTTATACTGGAGCAGAAATATAATCTAGCATAAAAAAGGAAATACTCAAGTAAAATACAAGTACCACAAAACAACACTTGAGTACAATAAATTCTCTGTTTTGGGATTTCCTGCAGCTTTCACTGTGTTTTTTTTTTTTACAGTGTGTGTTCGTATTTATACCAAAGCAAAATCAATAAGTGCTTTTAATTCGATAGTTTGTTGGTGTTTATTGTTTATCGCCCTCACGCCACCGTTCGATATATTGGTATAGTCCAGTGCTTTTACTTTGAAGGCAGGACCAGTCGTGTTCCGGCAGCGTTTCCGCCTCTTTGACGCAGACGGTCTCGCGCTGCTCGTTTCCACATGCTAATCATTAACAGGAGCATGACGTCAGCGGCTTGGCAGCGCGAGGGAGCACCAAAATAGAGAGGGGGGGAGATAGAGGGGGTGGGGGGGTAAAGGGTGAGAGTCTGAGAGTCGAATTAACTAATTAACCAATTATCTGATGCACTTATTTCAATTTATATTCAACTTTCTTTAATTTCAAACTCCCACATCACACGTAGATTCTTTTATTTAGTATTTCATTATTGCTTCATTTATTATGATCCTACTTTTACTACTACTACTACTACTACTACTACTACTACTAACAATAATGATAATAATATATATAACACCTAGTGTGAAAAAGTTTGATGACATTGAAAACATTGATGAGACATTTCCCCTCTAAACCTCTACAATATTTTTTTTGATGCCTTAAAATGATAAAATAATTCATTGATTTACATGATTAGAGATTATAAGAGAAAATGAGGATATATATGTTTAATATAAACGTTATGTTTTTTTACCCCTTTAATCGTCTCACAACCTTCAGACCGAACTCGTCCAACCACAACAGTAGTACGCTGCTTACACAATGAAAATATAATATCTTACATATATTATATGTCAGTCACAATCTAAACAGTAGCTGTATTTTTGATATTGAAGCACATTTCATATGATAACACTGCTTTTACTAAATTAGGATTAAGTTAGAACCCTTAACATATTAAAGTCTCTAAAATGTGCTGGATTTGTGTAAATGTAGTTACTTTCTTTGATAATTACATATTTTTCTGTACTTAAGTGTAAAAAGACGGATTAAATGGACTAATCTCCTCACTCAGTATCAGTTCTGAGGTTCATACTGTTTATCAAATACAAACCATATAAATAAAGGCCTTTTCATGGAGAAACTGGATTTTTATTGTAAATTCTCCAACCACCACAGAGTCGAGCAGTAGGCGATGGAGCTGAGACATTTAAAAACTTTCATTCTAACACAGGCAACTTTCACTGTAGCTGGTGTGAGCCCCTGTTTTCCATCTCTGAATGTGTGTGTGGGTTTACTCAGCTGCAGAGTGAATTCCCTCCAGCAGAGGAAACTCCCTGGTTCTATGTTTGATATGTGAAGGAAACAGATGACGTCATGTTGGATGAGATTTCCAGAAAGAGTCCAGATAATAAAGGAACTGAAAAAACATGGAACCTGGGGGATACTGTTTGCATCGTCTTTATGTTTTTTTTTTATAATAAAACACAAGTTATTCTTTATTTAACTTCAAGTTTGCTTTGTTTTCAGTGCAGCTGTTCATTTAGTTTCAATCCTTTATAAACTGTTGCTGGTAAACGTGCAGATACAACATATTTAAATAAATAATACAAAATGTGTTAAGACTCAAATGTAGTTTTTGGTTTCCACTGACTGGATATTATTATCAATATTTGCATTGTTTGCACTTTTAAATGTTGTATTTCTCTGAGGGTGTTTCGTGCCTCTCGTGGTCACTGTGCTTCTCTCTGAGGTCTTTTTGTGGTTGTTGGTTGACAATCACTTCTGATACAACAACTTGTGGTTTGTTCATTTCAGCGGTTTGTTCCTTTAAATTGAAATAAATAAATGTGTGTATTCTAGCACCACTGTGTGGCTGATGTATGGAATCACATCAACACAAACATTTCAATTTAAATTAAATATAAAATAGAGGGGAAATGTATTGACTTTGGGCCCAGCACGTTTTTCTTATGATTTCATGAGATCATTGACATTAACCTGCAATAAATCATAATTTACCGAATCAGTGTAAATTATATTTAACTCAAAGCAAATGTCAAATATTAAACTGTATCTGCTGAAACCCAGAAAAACGACACATATCTGTATAAAACAAGATGAAATATCGCGATCATTCTGTTATTGATCTGTGACGTGAGCGTGATCGATCAGCTGATCAGCATCGATCAGTCACGTACCACACGTAAAGTGGGCTGGACACGAGGAATCACCAGGAAGCTGCAAGTTCGAGCACCGCCTCCTCCTCCTGGCTCTGCTGCTCAGTGTTTTAGTGTGTGTGTGTGGAGGAACACTGTGGATCTTTAACTCTAAGTGTGTGTGTGTTATCAGAAGAAGAAGAAGAAGAAGAGGTCGTGATGAAGCTGCTCCTCCTCCTCCTCCTCCTCCAGATGTGCAGCTCTGCAGAAAGCAGGTGTTTCTGTGAGGTGAACTGAACCTGTTTTCTTCTTTGTTGTCATGTGATTTTAAATGACTTTAAATGATGATGTGTTCTTATTACAGCGTCCAATGAGAATCATTCACAGTCTGTGTATTCACCTGAGCTCAGGTTCCATCACAGTAAAGTTTTAATTCAGTAAATGTAGTTTTAACAACATGTTACTTCCTCTTCCTCTCATCATTTCCTCTGCTGTTGCGCCCCTCAGCGTTCAAAACACAACGTTGCATGTACATGAAATAAGATAAAAACTATAGAACTGTTGTTAACTCTACTAGTATTAGTTACTTTATTTTCTTTTTGAATTTCCTCTTCCATGGATCAATAAATGTACATCTTATCTTATCTTATCTTATGTCATCTCATCTCATCGTATCTTAACTCATCTTATCTTATCTTATCTTTTCTAAACAAATCATTCGATGACAAGTAAAGAGACGATTGTAAGTGAACAGTTTTTAAACCAGGGCTGGAAGATTATGGGCAAAGATGATGTTAAAGCTAAAATGTTCATATTATTTGATAGTTATCACGATAAATGTCAGATATTTATTTAGTTTATGTGTAAAGACTTGGTCGTCGTGGTTTTAAACTCTTTTTTACAAACAGCAAAACATTTCAAAAATTTGGTGCGAAGGCCTAATGAAAAAAATCTCGTCTTTATATACAGTCTATGGTCTTGACTTATATGAGGGAATAAACATGTTCATTGAAACTGCAGAGAAGGAAACCTATCATAATATATTATATTTTCCTCTTATCTAAGGTCACAGGTGACCTGGACGACTGCGCCTGTGACGTGGAGACGATCGATGGCTTCAACAACGAGCAACTTTTCCCCAAACTCCAAACACTTCTGGAGTCTGACTATTTCAGGTTCTACAAGGTAATTGAACACACACACACACACACACACACACACACACTTCTACACAGAGCATCTGATCTGTTTCTGAGGATGTGTGTCGGGGTCTCGATCCTGTGCAGGTGAATCTGAATAAGCCGTGTCCGTTCTGGACGGTGAGCGGTCACTGTGGTCTGAGGGACTGTGCTGTGAAGGCCTGCGCTCCTGTGAGTCTTCAACTCTTTCTCTTTATTTCTCTTTTGGTCCCGTAGCTGATGCTGGTTCATGTTTCAATGGTGCTAGTGTCAGTTCAGTGTTCAGCATCCACACCAGTGAACTGCTCCAGTTCCTTGTTTGTCAAATTAAGCTCAAGAGAAGAAGAGGAGGTTATGTAACTGTCAATGTAAACTTTATTTATATGGAACATTTAAAACAACAAGTTCTTTACAAAGTAAAACATACAACAAGGAAACAACAAAACATAATATGTCAAAATAATAATGATATTTAATAAAATAAAATAAAAGTAGAAGTTACTAAAAAATAAAATAATTTGTTAGGTCAAAATAAGAAAAACAGTTTAAACTCCATTTTCACTCAAACAAATCACTTTCACATTCACATCAGACTAAAACTCTGCCTCCTCTCAGAATGAAGTACCAGAGGGGATCAGATCTCCATCACACAACAAGGTGAGTCCATTTAAAAACACAGAAAAAGATAAATATATGCATGTGTATCAAATGAAAAATCACAGTTTGTGATTTCATTCTGGTTAAACATGCGTTCAGTATTCAGCAGAAGCAGACGAGCAGCTGGATGAGTGTGAGAAGACTCAGCATCTCGGAGCTGTGGACGTTTCTTTAAGGTGAAGATGAGTTCACTGTTCTCATATTAGAGATAGAAACTCTGAAAACTTTATTTTTGACATCGAAAACAAATCTATTAACCAGGTTTTTAATGAAGGATCTGAGCCATCGTCTTTTTTAATGGAGGGGAACCTGATTTTATTTGTCCAATAAAATTAAATATGTAATTAGTCAAAGAGCTGAGGTCGTCTACAGTCCTCTGGATGTTTATGTGAGGTCAAATACAACCAACAGGAGAAACTGAATGAACACGCTGGTCTGTTTTGTTTCCCAGTGCGGAGACCAGAGAGGCTCTGCTCGCCTGGAGCAAACACGATGACGAGGCCGAACAATTCTGTGTGACAGACGGTAAGATTCAGTCGAACAGATGAGTGAACGAAGGAGCAAAAACAAGTCTTTATTTATTCAGATTACTTCTGCTCAAAGCAAACTAAATATTTTGGAAAGAATCTTTACATATAGGTGTTTAGAGAACATAAGAAATGTTTTGGGGGGAAATTATGAAAACTTTATAAAAAATATCAGATAGCATGGTGGAAAGAAAGTACAAACATTTTTTAAGGGAACATAATTGTAAAATCCATGGTTTTGGAACTATAAATACACAGTAAATGTACACTGTTAGGGAAGTATTACTAAGTGACTGAACTGAACATCATGTAAGCAATAATAATACATGATAAAAGCAAAAGTATATCGTACTATGTAGTAAGTACTTGAACACAGACACTTTTTTTTTAGATTTCACAACATATGTCATACATTACCACACAACAGGGATTGTTATAATGTGTTTTCCTTTTGCTTTATTGGTTCAGATTGATATTAGTGTGACCTCCTGCTGACGTTTTCTCTGTTTTACAGACGAAGAATCTCCAGACTCTCAGTACGTCGACCTGCTGCTGAACCCTGAACGCTTCACGAGCTACAGAGGACCTGAGGTGTGGAGGATCTGGAACAGCATCTACGAGGAGAACTGCTTCAAGTAAACACCCCCGGAAAATAAAATTCCAAAACACAATCAATGCTTCGATATATTAGTAATGATGTACATCCACTTCTTCGCTGGGACTGTTTTATACTATGTAGCTGTGAAGTAGTCATACTGGCTCTGACTGTGAGAGAATGAGATGAGAGGTCATTTCAAAAAAAATCTTCTCCGTTGATTTTCCCTCACAGACCTTACACTGTCAGAAGACCTCTCATTCCCAACTCCTTCCACAGCAGCTCGGGAGGCGAAGGTAAGTTCACTGGACATCGCACCACGACTCGCTTCAGTCCTCAGGTTCTTCTTCTTCTTGTGTGATCACTTTGGGTTTATTTTGCAGCGCGGACCTTCTACAGCTGGCTGGAAGGTGAGCGGATGTTTCATCTGAAGAGGATCGATTGACACAGATGTTGCTGTGGAGTTATTTTTTTTTATTAATTCCGTTCGTCTCTCAGGTCAGTGTGTGGAGAAAAGAGCTTTCTACCGCCTCGTCTCAGGCCTCCACGCCAGCATCAACATCCACCTGAGCGCCAGATACCTCCTGGAGGGTGAGACTGAAACACACAAACCCTCACTGACTCAATCACGTGCTTATTCTCCTCGTCTTTATGTTTCCAAACATTTTTAACCTGTTATTAAACTTAAATAAAGAAATGAACTGAACTTCTCTTCCATCTTCAGACAGCTGGTTTCAGAGGAAGTGGGGTCATAACATTTCCGAGTTCAGGCAGCGCTTCGACTCGGAGCTCACTGCCGGCGAGGGGCCCAAGAGGCTCCGCAACCTCTACTTCCTGTACCTGATAGAGCTGCGAGCGCTGGCCAAGGCTCTGCCGTTCTTCCAGCAGCCGTCGTTCCAGCTGTACACCGGCCATGCCGAAGAGGACCGGAGACACAAAGAGCTGCTGCTGCACGTCCTGCAACTGGCCAGGTCAGTCTGAGGCCCAGCTTTCATCATAATAATAATAATCCTGTTAATGTCATATGAATGTTCTTCGTTGCATCAGAATCTTTAAAATGTCTCATTAGTGGTGTTTCCTGTGCTGTTGTCTTGTTCAGTTTGTTGTGACCTTCCTCTCTGTCCTCACTCCTCCAGATCTTTTCCTCTGCACTTCGATGAGACATCTCTGTTTGCCGGTGACGAAAAGGAAGCAGCCAAACTGAAGGTCTGACACTACACTATTATTTTAGGCAACAGATATCAGGAGCTTTATCGTTTTTTAGGTTGTTCTCAAATTCAGTTTAACAGAGTAACTGTGCAGCCTGCAGGTCATCAACCAGTTTTAAGTCGATTTATTTTTATACAGCACATTACAAACAACAGGAGTTGAACCAAAGTACAAACACACAGTGACTGTGTGTGTGTGTGTCTGTGTGTGTGCTCCCACCAGGACAACATCAGACTGGCCTTCCTCAACATCTCCAGGATCATGGATTGTGTCGGCTGCTTCAAATGTCGACTGTGGGGGAAACTGCAGGTTAGACGTCAACTGAGAAAAGTTGTTTTAATGGTTAATATATGATCATTTTTATTTTAATTGACATTTTGTTCTTTGATGAAAGTTTAAATGGCGCTTAAACAACAGTCAGATTACTATTTGTATTGAAAAGAGCAGTGACATTTTGATCTGCTCTGTGATTTGTTCTCTCTCTGTGTCTCTGTGTCGTCGTCAGACTCAGGGATTAGGCACAGCGCTGAAGATTTTGTTTTCAGAGCGACAGATTGAAGCTCTGCCCACGGTGCGCGGCGGACGACCCAGTTTCCAGCTCAGCCGCCAGGAGATCGTCTCTCTGCTCAACGCCTTTGGAAGGTGAGAGTCCGGCGAGAGTAAAGGATAAATAACATCCCATGATTATACACTATAATTTGAAGCCAATATTTCTGTTATTTGCTCTCGGTATCACCTGAACAGAGAGATAACCGTTCTTTAAACGTCTCACAGGATTTCCACAAGCGTCCGAGAGCTGAAGAACTTCCGGACGCTTTTATCAGAGGAGCGGTGACGGCTTCAAGAGGCGTCTTCGTCCTCTGATTCCTTTGTTTAAAGCTTCAGGCCTGACTGTTGTGGCCTCGAGTCACCGAACGCATCACAGCTGCCTCAGTCCTGAGTGTCGATAACAGACGTCAGGGTTCAGCATTAACAGACACACCTGCCTGTTGGACTTCAATGAAAGATCACAACTATTTCTAACAACTTCTTTTCACTTAAATTGAACAGGTTGAAAAGAAACAGGAATAAATTGAATATTTGTATTTATAATCAGAGCCTGAACATCGACACTGTAGGATCATATTCTCTTTATTATTATTCTTCATGTGCCTCCATCTTGCAGCAGAATTTATTTCCATTTCAGCCTATTTCCTTTGACTTCCTCCATATTTCTACATTAATACGATTTAATTAAATTTGAAGAATTTACACTTTGTTTTCCTTCCTTTCTAAAATAACGATGGGTACCTTGAAAGGCTCTGAAGAAATCTAAGTTGTCATTATTATTAGTGTTTTAACGTTTTTACTCTGAATTTAATTCTGAAGTTTCATTTTTACACCTGAGTACTGCTTTCATTCATTTCATTTCATTTTCTTGCAATAATTAAATCTTTCTCCAACGAGTTAAAATTAAATCTGAAGTTTTGATTGAATCACACGTTTGTCTGCATTTTAATCTTCCAGCTGTCTCTTATTTACATGACTCTGTTGTATGAAACTGAAATCGTCCCAATGAGCAGAAGAGATTGAAGAGTGAAAATAATTTTAAACATATTTCTTTATATTTATTCTTTAACTCAGATCATCTGTGTGAATGTTCCTGTTTATCTGCTTGACCCAATCACACGTTTCAGTTGCCTGTTGTTGTGATTGTGGTGCTGTCCTGAGGATGGCGCTGTTTATATAGAAAACTTATTTCCACACTTCACCTAACGAACTTGGAGATAAAAGCTAAATCTTCTAGAAAAGAAATGAAAGTGAAATATTAAACGAGGGATGTGATGAGTGTTGAGGTGAAAAACTCCTAGTGAATTTAATATGTATGTTATATTATATTAAGTTTGTGTTTGAACATTAATTCTGAATAATGATGAGACTTGTTTGTTGTGAAATTGTGTAAATGTAATGAACAGATATATTAATATGATAGAGACATTATATAAAGTTGTTAAGAAAGTTTGAGTTTGAAAAGAAAAGGATCGATGGAACTGATTCCAAGTTTCATAAGTGATTATATGGAAACCACAGTGAAGGCATCATGAATCATGAAGCTTGGTGGACAGTGAAGGCACCACAGTGGACAGTAAAGGGTTAAAGTGTGTAATAGGATGACTGAGAATTTGTTGGACAGTGAACGCACCACAGTGGGCAGTGAAGGTTAAGCTGTGTAATAGGATGAATGGAGATTGTGATGGACAGTGAACGCACCATGGGCAGTGAAGGGGTTAACCTTGTTATTAGGATGGATGGAGATTGTGCCGACAGTGAACGCACCACGGACAGTGAACGCACCACCGTGGGCGGTGAAGGGTTAAACTGTGTAATAGGATGAATGGAGATTGTGTTGGACAGTGAACGCATCATTACAACAGACGGCAGCAGACAGAGGAGGAGGAGGAAACTGATCCTCTGCAGAAACAACACGAGAACACTCTTTTAATTTTTACTTCCTTTTGTTTTTATCCCCCCATCTTTCCTCGGAGGAAGCTTCCTGTTCGGAACCGAGCGGAGCAGGAAACAGTCGCTGGAGCAGGAGGCGACTTCTCCTGGTTTCATGGCCGAAGAGGAGCGACGTGTGTCCGCGGAGAGAAGTGGAAACATGTCGCTGTGCGTGGAGGATTAAAAGAAGGAGGAATATTTTGTTTTATAAAGAACCGAAGATACTCAGCTGAGCTTCAGAGGAGGAGGAGGAGGAGGAGAAGAGGAACAGGAGGAGGAGAAGGTTTCAGTCTGATCTCCTGCTCGGAGGGAAACAGGTAAGTGACCTCACCTGTTCATCAACACACGCTGCTGCCACCTGTGTGTAATCCCGCGTTACAGTTACACACCACGTTACAGTTACTTCTTCCCTCCAGGACCCTGCAGAGTCACTGAGGCTCAAACACAGGAACAAACATCTGATTCTCCAAATTCCATTCAAGAGGGAATTTAAATGAGTTTACACCTGACAAAACTTTAAACTAAATATTTGGTTTTATGTGTCAAAAGAAAAAAAAAAAGGGGGATTTCAGGTTTTAGATCGAGACCTGGTCCAGTTTGGTTTCCACGATGTTTCCACCTTCTCTGTTAATCCAGATCTGACAAGTGTGAGTGTAGTTGGGTTTTTATCTCGGTATAAACCTGAAACAGCTTGGAACACTGACTCCTGGTTAATCCTCAAGTCTCAGTGTGAGTGTGTTTTGTCCACATGAACACAGTGAAATCACAATTTCATTTATTTTTTACATCTCGAATAAAGGTGGAACTGTGTTTATACAACTTCTCAGTTAATCTAATCCAGAAGTCTAAATATAGAGTTTCTTCACCAAGGCCTTGTCCCGTGTGGTTTACTTGAGGGGAAACAGTGACTTTAGTGAGTTCAAGCACTGAATAATGTTTTTTTACAAAACTGAACTAATGTTTCACTCAATCCTTGTTAATCTATTCAAGATTTGGCAAATTTAAGCACAGAGGGTTTTGATCTGGACGTGGGCAGACACACTGATTGCACAAGTTTTGCACATCGAACACTGTTAAAACTGTCTTTACACCCTTACATCCAGATTTGACAAGTTTAAATAAAGTTATTTTGTGTCCACATGAGGAGACACCTTTGGAACAGGCCTACATCCGATCTAAACTTGAGAATTCAAACAGAATACAGATTTACTGACTCTGACCTGAGGTCTGAACTCTTTCTAAAACTCTTTGACAACAACAAGAGAGAATCAGTCGTCCGGTATTCTCTTCTAAGTTTCTGATAACTTTCATGTAATGTAACACTTCTCACATTCATCAGGTATGTGTTGGTGTCGCTCTTCAGAAGTCGCCTTCATCACTTCAACTCGTGGTGAATATTTACAATCCACGCTGCGATGGTCAAACCCGCTAACATCTGCGCTAACGTTAACGTGCTGCGTGAAAATCTGCACGTTTCGTACTGACATTCACCAAAATGCTGTGAAAATGGACTCGCACATAAGAGTAGTGGGTAAAACTTTACAGTCATTCTGCTCCATCACTTTAACAGTTTAATCCCGTTTTTAAAGCTGCGTCGAGTCCTTCGTCACCAGTAGGGGGCAGAAAAAACACAAACTAACAGAAGTTCTGAAATAGCGTTGGCACCGTCTGAGTTCTTGTTTGGGCAACAACTTACGTGACTGTGAATTGAACCCATGTCTTGGAGCAGAGTTTGTTTCGGGCTCTGAACTGTACTTTGGTAAATAATAAAATATGAAATGGTAGACGTTATCACACAGCTCCAGTTTGAGGAGGAAACGCTTTAAAGATTCTGCAGACTTGACTGAAAACTAAATTCAAGTTTAATATCTGAAGTCGTTAAAATGTGGATCGCTCCAGACTGAGGAGGTTTTCCTCTTTGGGAATAATTGACCATCTTTTTCATGTTTTTCATAATTACAGTCTCATGATTTCACGATGGTTCGAGTCACGAAACATTTGCTGTTTTGTTGGAAAAGCAGAATAATCACCCAGCACGTGTTGTTTTCTTGCTTCCACTGACTAAATGATTTCTGTCTGTGGTCTATTGGTTAATAGAAATCCTTGAGTGGTGGGGGGATGGAGGGAGTCCCTGACAAGCAGCAGTATTGTAGTGGGATCCACTGTGGAGGCGGGACTCCCCCGTCCTCCCCCGTCCTCCCCCGTCCTCCAGGGCTTCAAATCCAGCCGAGCGAGTGGAATTTCATGGAAACATGAAATATGTCATTGCAGAACGTTAACTCCCTCAGTCTGTCCACTCGGCTCCGTTTGGTCCACGTTTCTGCTTCTGTTTTTTTAAACAGTGAGTTCACACCAGTTGTCAAAATGTGAAGGGTGCAGGTGGTTCTGGGACGTTACGATTATTCCTCCACGATGCGAAGAAGGAAACTTTCTGTGCGGAGCAGGTTTTAACCAACTCACCATTTTCTTTGCTTTTTCTTTTCACACACCTTCAAATAAAACCCAGTGGACTCAGACTGAAACATTTTCTGCGTCACGTTTGTTTCCTAACATTATTTTATACTTAAAGATATCAAATTATTTAACCTATTAAAAGATCGATGCATTGTCCAGTTACATTGAAATAAAATGACCTGAAAGATGTTGAGAACGAAGAGATTTGTTTACTTCAGAGCAAAATTCCTTTGATTTGAGATTGAAATTAACAAAGTGAAATAAGTGTATTAAAAATATTTTAAGAAAGAACCATTAACAAAAATGAAACCTATAAATGAATGATATTTAAATGAGCGTGAAGAGAAACGGTGCGTGGAGAGGCAGTCTCAGCTGTGTTTGTATTTTCCAGTAACTATTAATTAATTAGTTGATTAAAATGTCATATTCTGCAAATCCTTTTTTTTCCCATTTTCCTTTTCCTTCAACTCAAAGAAAAGACATTTAGTCGTCACATTCAAGAAGCTGCGACCATCAAATGTCATTATTACCATTAATCATTTATTGTTCGACTACTCGGTTCACAGAATCGTTTGTTGGAGACTCGTGTCGTCAGGAACCTTTGCTGTTTCCTGTGAAACGTTGCCCAAACAAAACAAGACTCCATGTTGTCAAACTGGAATCGAAAGCAAACAGCAGGAGAAGCAGCTTCTGGGTTAATTCCGTCTTTTATGTCCTGCAGTGATCAGCAGGTTGAGTCAAACCGGTCGAGTCCTGCACGCTGCTGCAGAGCCGGGGGGTGGAGGTGGAGGCGGTCCGGGCCCAACATGGCCTCAGTGATGTGGTTCTGGTTAGAAAAGAGGCTCTGAGTGTGGGAACAAGGCTGACTTGTCCCTTTCTGCTCCGCACAGCTCCGCCTCTCTCCTCTGCTGTAGTGAGCCCTTCACAGACATGTCGCTATCAGAGTTTGCTGATATGAAAACTTTTATTTTGCAGAATAAACGATGCAGGAAATATTTATCTGTATACTGGTTTATCTACCTAATTCAAGTTCTATATATTTAGCAGTTACTCGTAGTTATTTATAATTAAATCTGTGATTAAACGATAAAATATTAATTACATGATGATATTGACAACATCTTCAGAATCTTTGCCAAGTGATCTTTATATCGATATATCACGATCACTGTGACCGATGATTTGTCTGAAACCATCTAGTCTCTGCCTGGTGAGAGAAATTTGAAATCCCTTCATGTGTTTGATCAATAAGTGATTTTAGGTGGATTGGTAGTTTGTGGTTTGGTCTTTTTTAAAAACCTGACACTCTCGTCTCAGCTCATCGTCCACGCAGGTAAATTTAGAGGTGTGAGTGAACTGCTCTGACCTCCCCGTTGGTCTCCGGCTGTTTCATTAGCCGCTCACTAACGGCTCCATGTGTGGCATTTCACCGCTGCCCCCAGAATGTGCCACCTTCAAGCAGCGTGGAGCCATATAACCTGCAGCTCCATGCTGTGGGGATCTAACCGCATGTCGCTGGCCGCTCCGCTGTCTA